TCCTGTTGCTGGATCCCAGGGAGAAGAGCTCAGCACCTCTCTCTCCTCTTCCCCTCCTCAGGAAGCTGTAGAGGGCAATGAGGTCGCTCCTCAGCCTCCTTTTCTCCAAACGAGACAAACCCGGAGTCCTCAGCCGCTCCTTACAGGACATGCCTTCCAGCCCTTCTGCCAGCTTTGTTGCCCTCCTCTGCATACAATCAAGTACCTTCACATCCTTCTTAAATTGTGGGGCCCAGTGCTGCACACACTACACACTGTGCCCAGAGTGCACACCAGTGAGGCTGCACAATGCTGAGTACAGCACGACAATCACCTCTTTTGGCCGTCTGCTTATGCCGTATTAGATGCCCCCCAGGATGTGGGCTGCCCTCCTGGCTGCCAGGGCATGCTGCTGGCTCACATTGAGCTTAGCGTCAACCAGCACCCCCAGGTGTCTTTCTGCCAAGCTACTCTCCAGCCGCTCCTCTCCCAGTCTATACTTGTGTCCAGTGTTCCTCTGTCCCATGTGCAAGATTGCCCAATGCTCCAGTCTGTTCGGATCTCTCTGCAAGGCCTCTTGTTCCTCAAGTCAACAGCACCTTCCAATTTAGCATCATTAGCAAACTTACTAATGGTGCATCCAACTCCTGCCTCCAGTTGACTGATAAAAACATTGAACAGAACTGGCCCTAGAACAGAGCCCTGAGGAGCACTGCTGATGACTGGCCACCAGCCAGATGTAGCCCCATCTTCAGCCAGTGCCCTGTGCACCTCCTCATCCCACAGTTGGACAACTTGTCCGGAAGGATGCTGTGAGGGACAGTATCAAAAGCCTTACTAAAATTCAGAAAAGCTGCATCCACCACCTTTACTTCACTAGGCAGGTGTGGTGGTTTGACCCTGGCTGGACACCAGGGGGCCTCCAAAGCCGCTCTATCACTCCTCTCTAACTGGACAGAGGAGAGAAAAGTAAATCAAAAGGCTTGTGGGTCAAGATAAGGACAGGGAGAGACCATTTTATCAGTTACCATCATGGGCAAAACAGACTCAACTTGAAAAAAATTAATTTATTATCAATCAAAATCAGAGAAGGAGAGGAGAAAAACTGCTAGATCTTAAAAACCTTCCCCCCACCCCTTCCTTCTTTCTGAGCTCAACTTCACTCCCAGTTTCTCTACCTACTCCCCCCAGTGGTGCAGGGGGATGGGAATGGGGGTTGATGTCAGTTCATCACACACTGTCTCTGCCGCTTCTTCATCCTAGGGAGAGGACTCTTCCCCTGCTCACGCGTGGGGTCCCTCTCACAGGAGACAGTCCTCCACGAACTTCTCCAAC